TCGTGCGCGCTGCTCTCAAGTTGATGACTCATTTGGGGAGCCATGATTGTTGACTGCAAAAACTAGGCTCATGTCTCGGTAGCCTGCCATCAGTGATTGCAAGTCTTGTGGCCAGGAGACCATCCTGTTGCCGACCCCGCGACTGATCCCATCAGCAAGTTGGGCCTGTAAGGAGACGCAAACTAGTACGCAGCCTAGAACATGAGCAAGGAAGCCCTGAATACAGGCCTGATTTACTGAAGGATCCAAAGGCTTCGGCACTTTCGCTAAGTGACGTGTTGCATGGCCATGGGACGAGGCGGAAGGTGTCAGGGGCGGAGGTTGCCCATGTGACAGCCCAGACCTGTAGTGGATGGTGGCCGTCGAAACGCGTTTGCTATATATGACTAGCCAAAAGCTGTTGCTGCTGTTGTTGGTACTGCTTTCTTCTCTTTTGAACAGACGTGATGAGCTCTCAACGCTTCATTGAAGTGAACAAGAGAGAGTGGGCATTTTCCCTACCCTCTGGGAACCAAACTGGTGGGTAGACTCTCCGCTAAGTCCCAGGCAGGCAATCTACGTTGCCTTGCTGAAATTAATCCAACCCCTAAAGGGCTGGTGCAACTCGCAGCAGAGCTTGATTGCGCGTTCCCCCACGCAACGGGCGGGGAGGGGCATAATGTCGAATCCTGAGCGAGGGCGCGCGCTGACAGGTTCCTCCTCTTCTAGATGAAGGCGAGTTGCCCAGCCCTTTACTGAAACCTGTTCCTAGTGCGGTTCAGTGCAGATCTTCTCGGTTCTCAGTGGAAGGTTGAGAAGAGATGTTGAGTGCCTTCTTCTGTGGTGTGGATCGTGGAAACTGAATTCGCAGCAAGAGTCTCTTGTGGACGGCTGCCCAAGGATCGCAGTCTATTCCACATCAGCCCCCGGGGGGGTAAGGGTCGCCTGCACAAGACGACCATGCACTGGTGTGGTCGTTGTAGATGTGGGGCGCGAACCTTTCTTATCCTGACTGCCTAGGCAAGGCTGAGTCCTGTATCAAAACCTTCGGCCCAAGACTTTGTTGAGACTATGGGGTGCATGGGCTGTGTTTTTCAATGTGGTGCTGGCTAAAGACCCTTCTCTTCTCACTCGCAGAGTTAGGCAAAATGATGTTCAGCACTTGGAAGACATTGGGTCTTCCAACTTGTACGATTTGAAATGTTTGGGGTCCTTCCCACCGTCGGCCCGGGTTCCGGGATCCGGGCCGCGCTCCCAAGACAAGCAATTCCAAGAAAGCCAGTTTTGTGGGAAAGACCCCTGGCGCTCGATTCGCCGCCCGCTTCCGCCCGCTTCGGGACTTTGGCCCTGGCATCTTGACTCTCGAGATGTCGGCGCCCCAGCGCAGACCAGTTCGAGTACGGAAGAAGCATGAAGATTTACCAAGATTACGGTCCCAGGTTCCCTGTACAATCATGGTCTAGGGTACCTCAAATAGACCTAAAAATGAGATGGGTCGGCTTATTCGGGAAATTGGAGCTGATAGGAAGCCGAGCGATTTAATCTTAGAAGATCTTCCTCTTACTCTAAAGCCTGGCCTAAGAATCGCAAATCTTTGGAGATTTGGTTGTTTTCATAAGTACGGGAACCACAAAGTAGGCACCGAATTGCTACAATTACTTATTTTAGGGACCCCCGAAATGGTATTCCTAATTTTGGGAAAGCCCCCCTTTTCGTGGGTTTCTTGAGCCATGCCTAGGCCCCCTTGGCCTTTCCTCCGCCGCTGAGCGTGCTCCACTTGGTGTGAGGTTTGGGGTTCTTGCTGTACCTCAAATGAGGACCCAGGGCATACATGAAAGGAGGTCCTTGCCTTTGGTTTGGTTTGATGCACGTGTGCCTGTACTGAAAGACCTGCACGGACTGAGCAAACGACCGAACAACACTGCTTAGGTGCGGCTTCTACCATCAAGCCGGGGGCGCCTTGTTCAGGATTCGCCCTCGCCCTAGCCTGGGGGCTGGGCCTGTGGACTGATGTATTCAGGGGGGTCCATTTAGATGCTCTTTTGGCCTAAGCGAGCCACTGCCGGCTGTTGGACGACTACTCCTTGGCAATTTCCATGATCAAAAGTAGCTTTTCGTTCTTATTTTCTTGTCCTTTGTACTGGATACTCGTGCGAGTCTGCTGCTGGTCCCTGCTGGCTGAGGTTCTGTTTTGAGCCCTCCTGCTTGACGGTTGATGCATGGATGACCCGGCCTCAGCTCTCTTTGGTGTCATGGATTAAACGGATCCTCATATTGGTTGTAACTTAAAAGTGGTAGCAAGCAATCGCAGCAATTATGCAAGTGGAAGCCTCCTTGCCTGCCGAGTTCAGACAGCAGCTCGCCGCCTGTTCAGCACAGTGCATTGCAGAGATCAATTTGACGTCTGCCTTGCCACACGGCGACTGCGGAGAAATGGATGCGGCAAGAGTGTTGCTCGTGGAGCATCCTAGGGCAGTACTGCTGCCGAAAGCTCTTATGTGGCTCATTGTGAGCTTGGATGTTGTGGTGCTTGCTGCCAGCTTAGGTGTTCAAGGAGGGAAGCACAAGATGTAAACGAAGTGCAACTTGCTGATGCTTAACTACCAGCCTCCCGAGCTGTATCTAGACCTTGCCTCAGTCCAAAAATACTAAACGCTGTAGTGCTTGTACACCGATGGTATGAACTGAGCAGACTTCATAGAAGCGCTAGAAGCATGGCAGAGACTCGTCAGATGCCAGACAGGCGGCCTTCCTAGAAAGCTCAGGGCTTCATCTTCATAGAGATCGTTCTGGTTCGTGCAATCTGTTGCCTTTTGAGGGATTTTTAGGTGGTACGAGTAGAATGGAGGGCGATGACAACTTCTGAGGGACACCTGCAAGCTCACAAGTCGGGGCATGTGTCTGCATCGTCTAGTCACTCCAATTACTTGCTGACATGTAAGTGCTTTGTGCTAGCAGACTTCAGAGCTTCAGAAAGCACATTTGTTTTTTTGCCCATATGTGCCAGGTGCTTGATGGACATTGTGGAGTGCATGTCTTTTTGAGCGGGCCATAGAACACATGTATACCGATATGAATGTTATGTAACATACGTCTTTCTGCCTATCGTGTAAATCTGCTATGAGAGACAGTCGCCAGGCGTCGCTCGCCGTTGGCGCTTCCGCTTGCAGCTGTCTGCGCAGCAGCTGTTGCTGGGATGCCCAGGGTTTCATGCAGAAATGCAGTCTCTCAACACATGCCTATGAAACTCCCAATGGACCTGATCGGATGACAAAAATCGCACGGAGGTTCTCATCAAAAAGGCCCTGAAGTGCTGTGGCTGGGTTTTTGATGAAACCCTGCAGTTTTGAGAAGTGGTGCGACACCGGAACATGGGGCAAATACCCGCTGACTCGGAAGTCTGAGGGGGGGATAGCGCCGTCTATGCAGCATGTAGACATGTTGCAGTTCCTCGTATTTGTTCGTCGTATTTATAGGACCTTGTTCGTCGTATTTACAGGACCTTGCTCTCTTTGCACAACGTGCTTGAGTCTGAGTGTTTGTGTGGGTCCGCGCTGGGCAGGTGTAGTTGGAAGGGGGGCGGCTACTGGTGCGGATGATGTGGAAGTGACGGTGGTGGTGGGGTGATATTTCTAGGCATGCTACCGCCATATCAACCACGCCGGCTCTGGGTGCGGTGGGCTGTTGTAAAAGCAAGAACATGCTGTGAATAGCAGATGTTTTTCGAGTTGACGCTTTTTGCTGGGTAGTGGGCGTTGGGGGGGTGGTAGCGGGTAGCGGTAGTGGTAGTGGGGTGGCATTGGTCGTGGTCGTGGTCGCAGTGGAAGCAACAGTATGACAGCAGCAGAAACAGTAGTAACAATGCAAGGGCAGCAGCAGCAGCAGCAGCAGTATTAGTGGTAGCTTGTCAGGCGCTCCTTTTTAAAACTTGCACTTCAGACACAATTTTAGGTGAATTCCCAGCCTGAAGAATCCTGCGCCCACTGTGCCCAGCTTCTCATGGCATCTTGTGTTTTTGCATTTTTTGGCAACAGCATTTTGTTCGATGCTCAAAGACAAACATGCCATGTGCCCCATGCGATGAGCCTCAAGACACGCCGAACCAGTTTCCAGACGTAGCATAACATAACATAAGATGTATGATGTCAAAGCAGATCACCCATGAATCAAGTGCGCCTGCAGTAGGAGAGACCTAACGTGGTGGCGCTTGGTAGCCACAGTGTTCTCAAGATGCTTCGTCTTCGTCCGTGCTACATCTTGAATTGCTTGCGGTCTCAGCGTGCTATCACCGCTAAAGCTGCGCAGCTGAAGCGGCAGGAGCGAGGCGCCCTGAAGATGACCAACGACTTCGATAACTCACAAGACATGCGCAACTCGCGGCCACCCTTGCAGGGTGGGCCCGCCAGCGACGAAGTGAAACGGGCAACGAAGCAGATTGGATATCTTACAAAGTCTGGACAGTTCGGGGATGCTTGGCAGCTGTTTGAGACGTTGCAGGAACGAGGCACAGTCGAGTACTGTGTGGGTCTGCACCTGTGCGCACAAGCTGGTTGGCTCGATGAAGCCAGGGCACTTTGGGCAGATATGGGCCAGGATCTCAAGAACGTGGTTGCTTACACGGCAATGCTCAAGGTCTTCGCCAATGCGAAACGAGTGCGTGATGCAGAGCAGCTATTTGATGAGATGCAGACGCATGCAGTTGCACCGAATATCATTACCTACAATACTTTGGTCAGCGCATATGGGATGAGGTCCATGGCTGAGCAGGCCAAGAGTACGTTCGACAGTATTCCTGCAGATGTCTGGGCAGAAGCTGGCGACTCAAGCAGGCAGGCCAGCTATGCAGGAGTCATGTTCGCACATGCTCGTGTGGGTGACTATGCCGCAACGCGCGAGCTCTTCATGGACATGACGTCAAAACAGGTTGCACCGAACAAAACGCATTTCAATGCCTTACTTACGTCTTGCACCCAGCAGGGCTTGACTGAAACAGCAAGAGCGATCTTCGATATGCTGCCTCATTATAACATCAAGCCGGAATGTGACATGTGGACAGCGCTGATCTCTTGCCACCGCCAGGATCTGGGCCAGTGTAAGCAGATCTTGAGTAACATGCAAAGTGCTGGCGTGCAGCCGTCCGGACTGACGTACCAAGTGCTTTTGAACGCGCACGTCCACGCAGGAGATGGGCCTGGTGCGAGGGAGTTAGTTGAGGACATGGAGAAGTTTGGGGCATGGAAAGAATCTTATGTCACTCAGCAGTTAGCGGCGGAGGCTGCGCAGCTTCCATAGACTTGCAGCGCCTTCATTATAAAAAAGTGTTCTTCTTGACAAGCGCAATGCTGTAGTGGTAGGTGCATGATGCAGTTTGCCAAGGTTGCAGGCCTGTGCAAGCTGGTGGACATGGAGGCTGAAACGCTGTCCTTTTGGCCACATCCTGATCTTCAGCTTGCCAGCTTGCAAGGCATTTGCTGCGCCAGGCATGCGGAAACGTCGCGGCCTCGGGGCTGGAAATGTGCAAGAACAGTTGTAGAAAAGGTCTCAGACATCAAGTGCCCTTCTCAGCATTTTTGGCTCCTTGGCATCAGCATCAGCTTCATTCAGCGTTGTTGAACCATGGCCCGTGCAACGAGCGTGGCTTTGTTGGCTGCAACTTGGCACAAGTTGGAGCTTTTGTAAGACCTTCCTGGTTCGTTGACTCGCTGACCAGTTTGGACCAGATTGACACCTGAAGTCCATGCGGAGCATGATGGGCACTTTGATGGTCTCGTGACTCTCGTGTCATCCTAATTGCAAGGGCAGCTGCCCCTCCGAGTGTCACGGTACTGTATGTAAGTCCCCTGGAGAGGTGGCTGCTTGCTCCGCGCTTGCTTTCGTCCCCGCACCGCTCTCGCGCACCGCGCCGCGGTGCACTGCGCCCCAGCGTGCTGCGTCCAGACACCCCGCAGAAGAGGCCACACAAGTGATATACTTCGTGATTGACTAAAACCTGCTCCAGATCGGCCAACAACTTCAACATTTGACACAGGAGCTTTGCGTGAATGATTTTACACGCTGGTGAAGTGGCTCATGAAGCACATGGCGGTCAGCAGCACTTTTCTTATCTGCAAGTCTCCTGTCTTCCATCGAATCAGGAATACCAGGGCAACAAGTAACCTTCAGACCTCTGCAAGAGAGTTTGTGAAGACTTGGATCCTCTTCATAGCATCCCCCACAAGAACGAAGCCCTGAGTCTGAAATTTGAGAAGCATCATTTGCTTCTAGTTCTGGCTGGAAACCCCTCAACCCCAAATTCTCAACCCTCAATCCTGAACCCTGAGTGCTAAATCCTAAGCCCTAAACTTCGTGCAGCGGGGAAAATTGGTCCGAGAAAAAAATCTGAAACTCTGAAAACCAGACCGTGACACCGAAACTCCAAATCAAAAGGCCCCCAAACTTCAAACCTTTGCAGGCAGCCTTTTACACAGAATCCTTCTGGGTGTCCCCTGCTCTGGCTGTGGCCGCAGCAGTCCTCCTTGCTGGCGCGCAGGCATTGGCTCTTAGGATTTGAGAGATCTGAGGTGGTTCTGGGGTTTCAAGGGTTCTGGAGGTTAAGTTTTCGGGTTTCAGTGTGTGAGGGTTTATTTATTTTGGGGCTGTGCTTTTTCTGGCTGTGACGATACGTTTCTCAAAACAGTTTCTAAAGGGCCGTGCGAAATGCCCTGACAGGCTGGTTGGAGAACCTATTCTCTAGCTTAACAGCGACCACAAGGGACATTGGACATTCTATCTCGGTACATTAACCTGTGTTAATCACATAGAGACTCGTGTGGCAACAAGAAATGCACGTAGCAACGGAGTCAGATTGATGTCGTCTCGTTTCGCTGTCTCTTCAACTCCACAGAAGCTTTGGGTTGTGCATGCATATTACAAGCTAAACCTTTTCTGGATTCTTCCTTGCAATGCTCCTCCCACGCCGGCCCTTGCAACAGGGATGCCTTCATCCAGAGCAAGAATAGTCTTGCCATGGGGAAACCAACGCGGGGACTGTCACAGTAAGGAGGCTAGAGCGGCTAGTGGCTGCAGAAAGAGCTCAATGGCCCTGCAGCCAAAAAAGGCTCCTGTGCTTGCAAGGCTGGCTACGCAAGCCCATCCATTGCTTCCAGGCCAGGCCTTGTTAAAAAGTGGGCATCCTGAGCTGAGATGTAGGAGCCCTTGTTGGAGTTTTTGGAGACTGGAGGTCGGATCGGGTTGACTTTGTCACAAATCCTCCAGTTCCTCAAGCCGTGCTCCAGGCGCGATCTGATTGTCTTCTAGATACTTTGTCGCGTTCAATCCATGTGTGCAGGAGAAGCAAATGACGAAGGTGAAACTGGAAGCAGCTCCAAGTATCTCGGTCTGAAAGCATTCGAGGTGCGGAGTCTGGAGGCAGAGGCTTGGGTCTTGAGACCCCTGCGGATGATTAAGGCAAGGCGCAGATTGCGGAGAAGGTCCGACGACAGGAGAGGGCGCGGTTCTCCGTTGCGTCAGGTCCTAGACAACCGTTCTAGAATCCTATTGTCAGTATCTCGGGTCGCGAAGCTCTGTTGTGTGCCCAAAGGAGATGGAGTACATGAGGACGACTGTCGTCCCCGGGGGACCGAAGCCTGTGCGAATTCTGTCTGTGAACATGTGAGCCCTGTCTTGCCAGACAGCTTGTGAACAGTGTTACTGTCTGCGACAGGTTGCCCAGTTTAAGGCTGTGCCCGAAGCAGTCGCTACTATGTTGGACGGCGCTAATTGAAGTTTGCCTCATGCTTGTAGCTTTTTTTCAATTTTGGTTGGGTTAGTTTTTTTTGGTAGCGCTGTCTTCTGCAGAGTTTGGCTATTTCAATTTATGTTCCACTTGTTCCCCTGCCCTGGACTTTCTGCTCCGGGTCTGTTTCCTTTTTCAAGCGCGGCATGCCGTCTTGTGAGGGCTTCAGCAAAAAAAAACCGACATGCTTTGGAGTCTCTCTCCCTCGCAAGGTGGCCCCGCATCTCGTTGCCAAATCGCGCATGCGTAGTTCATGTTCCCGTGCCAAGGAGCACATGTTGGAAGAAAGACCCTTTAGACAGAGGCGCTTTGCCAGCCGCCGCAGGCACACATTTTGAAAAAGCTTGCGCTTTGCTACTCGTCTCTACGCAAAGGGACATGTGCATGGCCAAAATGGGTCAGCTCTGCTTTGGCAGTGAGGTGCTCCAGCGCCATATGGGCGGATTGGTGGACGACCAATCATCCCAAACCCTGAGGCACTTTGGCCTTTTGTGGCTTTCCCTTCCTTCCGGTGCAATCAAATTCATTTAGAGATATTTAGACAGCTCCTTGAATTTCTGCACGGCTCTTGACGTGACACAGATCGCTTTGTGTACATGTTATCTACCATCCTGCCATGTCTCCAAGACATGCAAAGCCAGCAGCATGTCAAACAGGGAAGCTCCTAGGGTCCATCTGCTGGTCACCGCGCTCAAGTGTTGTCATGCGCTTGCAGGCCGAGAAGTTCCCAGGAGGTGTTCCTAGAGACGAGGTGCTCGAGCAGACAGAAGTGGACTTTTCGTTGATCCTGCAGCACCTTTGTCTTCTGGGCTGTTCGTAGCGAATACAGGAACTGAAACGGACATGGAGACTACAACATACTCGTATGGGCTACTGTAGGGATCCATTCCTTGGTTCCCTACCAACGCCATTAAGTTATTGAGGCCAGCCGCCTGCATCCAGTCAACGCAGAAATCACAACACTTTGCCAGGATGGATTTCCGGTGATCACCCTGCGGGAGCAGTATGAGACAAATGCAGGGTCCTTGTTACGAAAGCTTCCCAGGCCTTCGTTTTCTTTGGAAGCTGTTCTTGGGCAAGCGGAGTCCGCCTCTCTATGAAAAATGCACTGGCCAGTTTGCACCCTGATTCTAAGCTTTCGTCCTTCACTATTTCGCTATATTACGCTATTGTGCCCTTTGCTTCAGGTTACAATGTATGTGGAGGGACTTGGCCCTTTTCCAGGCGCTCCCGGTTCTTCCAAGACTTGATGGGTTCGCGTTTGAGTTTGAATGCGCATTAGTCTAGAGCAGACTCTTGGCAGGGCCGCCGCCGGACTTTAGTGGCGACTGGGACTACATTCCACCCGACCCCGAGGCAGCCCGAAAAATTGTGAAGCAGAGTTTGCCAGTGTTCATGTGAACCCCCAGGCCTTTGTCCTGACAGGATGAGGATTTCGATCCGGATGCGCCTCTTCCACCAGAGCCAGAGGACCCGCCGGAGGCGCTCGGTGAATCAGTTGGTCGGAGATCTGTGTTGTGATTCTAGTTGGTGAACATGACTACTGCTTTTGAAGCTGAATGGTTTTCTAGAATCCTAGTGGCTGTGGTGGCAGTTTCATTTGTGTAATCAAGTCACCGTCATGGCCATGGTCGCTGCCCTCGCTGCTCTCACTGTGGTGTGGTTCGGAATGCCAGAAACGCAAACTCAGCAGCCGAGGGGCTGCAAGACGGCAAGGTGCTGTGTGCTTTTCCGGTACTTTTGCCCGATTTCGTTTCCAGCACATACCTGGCCAGCTGTCGATAGCAGCGAAAACCCTAGCAGCGGGGGACTGCTCAGCTCCCGCAATCCTCACTCTCTGAAGCTTCGTTTTTAACAGAACCTGGCCAGGAACTCATGAAGTTGCAGCCGGACGGCGCGATTGTGTGGCCCGAGGTGGCGCTGGCCAGGACGAAGTACTTTTTTTGCCTTTTCTGTTTTCTTGGCTTTGCAAGCAGGCGCTTGGCCTGATTTTAGAGGGATGTGTCTTCGTGTCCATGTCTTGAGCATGGCCAGGTGACGGCGAGAAAGGCAGGGCTTGTGACCGTCAAGTTCTTCGTGGGGCTTTTCAAGGAGTTCTGGGTCCCCTGATCTTACATGCAAACGCAGCCTCTACTGGGCCACACGCTGACAACATGCTGCGAATTTGCTGATATCTTGGGTCTCTACATGGTCCAGGCAATGTCGGCAAGACTGAATCTGTTGAGCGGCATTGAGCGGCGTACAACTTCAATCCAAAACTTGTGCTGTTTGTCTCTTTCGTGATGAACTCTGAGCATTAGACCTACAGATACTGGAAAGAAGGTTTCACTGCTAAGAATCCAGCTTAGCGTTTCAGAACAACTTGATTTATAATCCTTCCACTAGATTCTCGACAAACTTCCGGCAAGGTTTTCTCAAGACTTCTAGCGTGTTTTAGATGCAATTTGGGCAATTTTATCATCATGCGTGGAACAGAAGAACATGAGCATAAAGCTCGCAGCAGGATACTGAAGACACT